GATGCCAGGAAGAAAATTGCTTAATGAATAGCCTATGATCACCCGGGGGGTGGGGATGGTAGATTATAGCAATTCTTAAAGGAGTGGGTTTAAATAGGCGGACAGTGTGAACTTCAAAAGAAGAAAAGGATAGGGCAGGGGAGTTATGATTGGTTGAAAGGTACAGTGAGGGGAGAAAAGGATGCCTACACCACCTCCTTTACAGTCTGGGAGTGTGAGAGAATTGTAGCCCACCAAAACATAAAGAGGTAGGAGTAGCGCTATCAGAGGGGGACAGCCAAGTCTCTGTAAGTGCAAGTAGTGTGAGTGAGTTTGAGATGAAAAAGTTGTATATGACTGTTGATTTTAAATTACTGCAGATGGAGCGGGCGTTCCAGGGTGCACACTAATTGTTGGTAAGTGAGGGTAAAGGGCAGGTTGTTGTGATGAGGTTTCTGGTTTTCTTAGTGTGTGTAGAGAAGGTGAAGGGCCCTGGATTGGGAGAGACATCACCAGCTGCTAGAAGCAGGTGGAGAAAAAAAGTGACAGGAGGTGTGAATGGGTTTTGTATGCATGGAGTAGACTAGAAATGAGATCGATTGTGGGTAGGAGTGAGAGTGTAGAAAAATTAATGCAAGGCATGAGATGAGAGAAGGGGGAGTGTAGCAGAGAGGGGCATATGTAAATGTGGATGGGGGGATGAGTGAAGTGGGTGTAAGGAGAGATTTTTATACTCAGGAAGAAGGAGGAAATAAAGAAGAGTAGAAGAGAGCTACACTGGGAAAAAGTAAACTGGAAATAATTTGAATATCAAGAGCAGGTGAAGGTAGGGTAAATATTAAGTTTTATGGGTTAAGAAAGTGCAGGAGTGTACTAATAAGAGGCAGTGTGTACACCTGTTATTTTTACTTATCTAAAATTTGGGTGTGACAGACAATCTAAAATGTAATGAGCATGGGGTGCGGTGGGTTGAGGAGGGGAGGACGGGTATCAGACTTTACAGCAGTATTGGGGCTTGATAGTTTTGAAATCAGGCTGAAAATAAGAAAAATATGTGAGGGTCAGATAGGCTTGCAATAAAGTTGAGTGAGGGGGATATGCATCTAGACACAGAGATGAAGGGATGGTTATTCAAATAAAAACAAACATATCAATAAAAGAAGGGAGGGGTCAGAGGTCAGTCAGAAATCAGAGGGAAAATAGAGGAATGCACATAGGTGAATAAAAAAATTACATACAGGGCTAGCAAAACTACACTGTAGCATGACAGACAAGATATAAAGACAAGAAAATATACAATGCATACAGGATATATAAAATAAAATGTAAAGGGTGGTTAAATTAAATATAAATGATGCTGTGCAGGATAGAGTTTTAGTGTAGTGTTCCAGAAGGCTACCTTTGCTTATTGCAGACGATTAGCTGATGGAGCTCTGACTTTCTTAATGCAGTATTGGGGCTTGATAGTTTTGAAATCAGGCTTTAATTATTGCAGACGATCAGCTGATGGAGCACTGACTTTCTTACAGCAGTATAGGGGGTTAAAATATTAGAAAGGGAGGCACCTGCCGGGGAGAGCAGATGAAGCTGGCGCCCCCCTCACTGACTGGGCACCAAACAAAGGTTTTATCCCCTCCAGGGAGAGGAGCCAACTAACCCATCTGGCCAGAGTAGTGACTGATACTGGACTGTAACGGACTGTTTTACACATAAGAGGTTGAAAACCGTTTAGGTGATATTCCCCTTTCCAGATGCACCGACAGCTACTGTAAGCACCAATCTCCCTAACCGCAAACTACATGAATTCACCAATAGTGATGTCGCGAACCCGAAATTTTCGGTTCGCGAACGGCGAACGCGAACTTCCGCAAATGTTCGCGAACCGGCGAACCGCCCGAAACGCCATTGACTTCAATGGGGAGGCGAATTTTAAAACACACAGGGACTCTTTCTGGCCACAATAGGGATGGAAAAGTTGTTTCAAGGGGACTAACACCTGGACTGTGGCATGCCGGAGGGGGATCCATGGCAAAACTCCCATGGAAAATTACACAGTTGATACAGAGTCTGGTTTTAATCCATAAAGGGCAGAAATCACCTAACATTCCTAAATCACAATCAATATGGATTGACACCTGACATATGACATATTGACACCTTGACATATGGATTGACACCTGTCCTCAGAGGCCCTGATGCACACGGACACAGAGCAGAATAGAGACTGGTCCCCCTACATAGGGTCACTTGGCAGATATGGATTGACACCTGTCCTAAGGATCCCTGATACACACTTGTTACAAACTGCTATTTGTAACGGGCCCTTTAAATGGCAAATTGCCCTGCTTCCCTGGGTTGTGGAGAAGCCTACTTGCCAGCCTCCTCCCGCATGACTATGGCCCCTGGGAGATTGTGAAAATGTATGCACTTTTATTTGGTGTGTATGGCCCTTTAAGACTGTCGGTGGGCATATTGGGGCTTATGGACTCTTTATGTGACTGGTGCTGGCCCTTTAAACACCTTTTTTGGGACATCAGGAAGATTGGGACACTGCCCCTTTAAGGCCGTGTCCCCAGACTTGTTGGGGACACGGCCCCTTTAAGACGGTGTCCCCTGTGTCCCCAGACCTGGTGCAAACCCTTTGTGCCTGCCTTGCTATTTCCACTTGGTTCAGTAAATGGGAAATTATTTCAGCTGCAGAGACTAAGTCCCATTCGGCGATGGGACTTAGTCTTTTTTTCAGCCGTTTTTTTCAGCCTTATTTCAGCTGCAGAGACTAAGTCCCATTCGGCGATGGGACTTAGTCTTTCTTTCAGCCGTTTTTTTCAGCCTTATTTCAGCTGCAGAGACTAAGTCCCATTCGCGATGGGACTTAGTCGTTTTTTCAGCCTGAAATAGACCGACCTCACAGCCCAAATCTATGGAACTGTTTGGGCAGGAAAATGTGCTTGCGGTCGGTCATAAAGGGACCTCCAGCTAACTTTTTAACCCCTGGATGGATTTGGCTGATTTTTGGTTATGTTTATGTTTTAAGTGTGCTGATTCCAAATATGTAATTATGAAGATGGGATGTGTAGTTTTAAGGTTACAGGGTATGGCTAAAAACTGTATTTTTACTGCCTGTGTTTAATTATGTTAATCTCTTCCCAAACGTCATTTCGTTCAAAGTGGAGAGAATGTTAAAAAAATATATTTTTGTTCGGAGTGTGAGAAATGCTTTTCAGCCGCTTCTAATCATAAGCATCATTTGAGGAGCCATACAGGAGAGAAACCTTATTTGTGGTGTGTTTAGTATTGTTCTGATCAGTTTAATACCTTCCGCGTCTCCTATCAGTGGACGTGTATATGGCAGCCATTTTAGGAACCGTACACCTGGGACCCGAGCAAGGTCACCTCGTTCAACAGGCGACAACATTTGCCCCTGGGAAACTATCCTGGACATCCTGTACAATGCGTATGG